ATATAAAAATAAAATATTTTCAAGTTATCTTTATATTATTGTTCTAAGCAAAACAACTGTAGACAGCAAAATATCCTTTCTTCACAAGCTCCTTTGTTGCCTACTCTAAAATACAAGGCATGTGTTCCTAGCCAAACAATGCAGCTCTTTGTTCTTTATTTGTAATTCCACTGTCTGGCAATTACCAGGAAAATATAGCTTAATAAGTAATTGAATCTGTTCCACTCAATCAAAATATTGAGGTCACATTAAATATCTATAACATCCACTTTTGTTTACATTCAGAAATTTGATTTTTCTTCTTTCCCTTCTCAAAGTATAACTCACTAATTTGAATACAAACATTTTCAGGATTTTTTTTTTTCTCCTTTTAATAAGAGGGACTCATCTTAATTCAGTAGACACATTTCAAGGAAGTAGAGAAAAGACAGAAAAAAAAAAAAAAAGAAAAAGAAAAAGAAAGAGAGAGAAGCTGTCCTGAACCAGAAGAGGGAAACACTCCATCTGCATCCTGTGGTTGTCCACTGTGTGTAGAAGTAAGGCCAGACAACGTGCAGCCCCAGGGAAACACTCCATCTGCATCCTGTGGTTGTCCATGTTGTGTACTGTGTGTAGGAAGTAAGGCCAGACAACGTGCAGCCCCAGAAGCTTGGAAAGAAAGTGGGCACACACAGGACTCCGTATCAGCTTTCCAGGAGCAATTCACCAGCCCAGGGCAAGACTGGCAGGACTTCCCCAACAAATGTCTGCCTGTAGTCTCCAGTAGCTATACCATGCTCTAAAGTTATAGAAACATTAAAAGAATCTGTATTTTCATGGAAAAATTTATATAAAAAAATAAATTTTGCCCCTAGGACCTCATAGAAAGTGCACATCCTACTTAATAGGAATTGACATGTCGGTTCTTGCAGGATGGTTACAGAATCCAAATACCAAAGAGGATTAGACCATGCTAATTTTGTTTTAGAATATATTTGTCATCTTTACAGAAATATAGCATTAAGTATTAAACAGTCTGTACGCTCTAAAAATATTTCAGTTCAAAATTCGTAATTCAAATCAAAGATGGAAGCATGGTATCTGTTACTATGGCAGTGGCACTCTCTTTGGGAATTCCACACCCATACTACACTAGGTTATAATTTTATGTATGCAACGCCCAAGAGGCTGAATGAGAAAAAGAGATGACTGGGTTGTGCTGATCTGAAATTCTTTTGAGCTTTTTCTTTAAATTAAGCTTGTCATGCAGATACTGCATTTCTCATCAGCAGGCTGATACTCGTGCTTGTAGTTTATACAGTAATACAAATAGAAATATTTCCATGCATGACCAAGCCACAACTGTTTATCATCTCACTCCACTCTTTCTCCCAGAGTTGAAACATTAAAGCCAGCAGCAGTACGTGGATTTAGGTCAAGCAAATCAAGCGGCATGCACAAGCCGAGTGCTCCTCTGCACTCCTGCCAATTGCAAACATAATTCTGCAGTCCTGAAACCCACCACAGACAACGCCTTCTCCCTCCAGTGCCTGCAAAGACATTCAGCATTTTTAGCTGAAAGCTTATAAACCCTCCTAACAGCTACAGGTGGAAATGTAAGGACTGCATTCTTTTTTCATGACTGACTGAGACAATGTGGGGTTTTGTGGTGGGTTCTTTTTTTCATATTATTACACTTTCCATGAGTTCTTCGAGCACAGCAAGTCTGAATATTAGCTTTCCATACCCTGAGTAACAACAATTTTTTTAATAGCTGCTGTCTACTGGTGCCCATCTTTAAGCCAAACACCTTCCCTTGAGGGAGCCTGCGACCTGAGCCACACGGAGCCATCAGGGGAAAGGTGCAATGGCTCAGCAGCAAGGGATGAAAGAACCAGATGGAATGAGAAGCTCTGAATCATTAATTTCTAGATCTCTCCTTAAGAGGGATTTGAACAAAGGAAAGGAAGACAGGAGGAGGTGTGCTTTGAGGAATGTGAAAGCAATTGAAACACTTTCCATTGCGCTTTGCTAATGCAATTTTTGCTCCTCTTAATAACTTCCACGAGTCTATAGAGAACCAGGCTCGCAAGCACAGCAGATTAAGAATTGCAGTATTTTAATTTTTGTGTTGACAGGCTTTTGGCATAATCTTCAGTAGGCTGATTCACCACTGTCTCTTGCACAGTGGACTGACTTGGAGAAAAGCTCAACACAAAAACTCTATCTGACCTCTCTGAAAGTTCAGGCCAGACATCAGTTTTGTAGCTGCTAAGACGTGCGGCAGTGACTGGTGTGACTCTCTGCACTTGGAAAGATGCAGACATCTGGAGTCATTCAGGATCCAGGCAGAGAGGTGAACTACCCTGCTGCAGGATGCTTGAAGAGGGCGAGGGTTGTTTGGTTTGGATTCCCTCTCCTCTCCCTGCCCCCCAAGAAACTTTGGCTCAGCAGAGAAGTAAAGGCTCAGACAGAGGCAAAAAATGTATTTTGTTAACTTTGTGATAAAGAACGTACGTGACCAAGTACAACTATTCCTGATAAACCTACTTTGCTAGAAAAATCAGTCACACAAAATAGTAAAAGCAGGTGTTTCAGTTGCCTTTCAGATGCAGATGAAAAAATATAAAGATACTAAATGCAACCTGAAGCGCTGTCTTAAATGTATTCCACCGAGAAGAGAAAACAGCACTGCCAGACATCAATTGAGTAATGTTATTTTAGTCATGACGCAGAGCTTTGATTTAATTTAATACATCTTTTATGAATAAGTAAATAGACTACACAGATTATTACATTTTGTTACATACAGATTATTTCTTACGAAAGCCTTTGACATTCATATAACGTCTTTAAAATTTTTTTATGCTCTTATCCAAATGGATGGGTAAGTCACAGACTAGGTGATTAGATAATGTCTACCATCAGAAAGGTCCAAACCAAAACTAGTGCATGTGTGCTTCCACTGAATAAATGTAACAATGAGTTTCTATAATATTAATGAAATGTTTCTGCTTCCTGCTAACCAGTAAAATACCACACTGACCCACCAGACATCAGCACAGGTTTTTCACTTGCTTACTTTGCTCTTTCCAGTAGCTTTATTGCTGCTTCCCTTCTATCCTGGTCGAGATACAGTATTGCCAGCTCCAGCAAGGCATTTGGAATTAGATAATGGTCATACTTTATCTTCTTCTCACTGCATTGGAAAAGAAATAAAAAAATATTGAAGTGATATATTGTTTCTTTAATTTAACAGTTCCAAACATAAATAAATAGGAGATTAGCTAAGATCAGAAGGAGCAATCAATCTCCATTACAACACTTGTCATGTTCTCTATCCAAAGCTACCTTCCAGCTTATTAAACATGTATTTTGCACAACCATCCTGCACAGTATGTTATTTCTCAGGATTATGAAATATTGCCTTTATTATCTGGAAAGTATTGGAAAAGATGACAATATTATGAGCTCTGCCCATGTGAACTGACGAAAAGAGATGCCATTCACTGCGTGATGTATAGAAATTGCAGGTATAATCGTGCTGCCATCTGTCTCTGCAGACTGCATTTGGCTTTTAGGGTACAGCTTCTTCAGGATGGGTAAGAAGGGGGGGAGAAAAAGAAAAGTGGTACCTCAAAAATTTTATGCATGTATATTCCCCTAAAAAGGAGAAAATACCTCAGTAAAAAGTGCAGATTTGCAATTCTTCTTCCATACATGGCTAACAATACTGGCAATTAAAAGTGCAATTCCTTGATATCAAAGCTACTGAAAGAAATACTAAAGATACTGCAGTCCTCTCCCTTCTATTCACATCACAGATGTATCTCTTCTTACTTGAAATGAACAGTTACTGAGAAATTCAAGAGCTCTCCTGTATGCCAGGTAGGAAAACTTACTTTAAATAGATGTAATTAAAATGGTCTTCTGCTTCTGAGATCTTGCCCAAATGCTTGAGGCATAAACCCTTTAACAGCTTTATCACACACTGGTCATCTGCTAGTAATTCTGTAGCTGCAAGATGAAGTAAATAGCACATTTTAGAAAACTCTAGAGCAGCAGAGACTTTTACATGGGTAGGTGTAAGCATAATCCATTTACTGCTACACAGGACAGAAGGAACTAACTGGTCAATTCAGTTCATTTAATGCAGAGACAAACACACATCAACCTTTTAATAAATTGATCAAACTTTGTCTAAAAATTGCTGGGCTGTTCTTTCCCCCTCTACTCCCACTGAAAGGCTAGGCCACAATCTTATTGTTCTGACACCTAAAAACTAATCTGAAGTGTGCACTTTGGAAATGTTGAGGTTCAATTCATAATCTCTTTGCCTTATGCCTTTACTGCCCTTTAGTAGGCATAGCTCTTCTTCCTTGACTTCTAGTCACATGATCTATTTGTAGGCAAGTGTTTTATCAATTCACCACCTTTGGCTAAACAAAAATATGCCAAACTTTGCTACCTGTGCCTCTCATCCCCTCATCTTCTTACCATGGTTTCTGTTCACCTCTTTTGAGTTTATACTTCTGAGTGTCCAGAGTCTTACCAGCCTTACCAGCGCCTAGTTCAAAGTCATTACTAACAACACCCTTTCTCCATCACAAAATTTCTGCATGATACATTTCAAAGAAAACATCTGGCTTTTTCACAGCCGTTCCATACAGGCAGCTTAAAATTTACAAGCAAAATCTTCAGCTTGCTTGCTCATTTCCAATTCATGAAGTACTAACTAAAAAGAATTTCTGCAAAATGTGTGATACTGCATCTTGTGCTACTAAATGTCACCCTGTTTTCACAAACCTTACCTGGTTCTTCCTCTATCACTCCAGCTGAGTAAATGCTGACACATACTGCATGAAACAGCTGCTTCCCTTTGGACTATGCAGTTTGAGGCCTTGATCCTACAACTGGAGTCACTTCTACTGCTAAGTCCCATCGAGGGCCCTACATACATATGTCACCAAAGCAAATCCCAGGGAAGATGCCCAAAGACTATGCAAGCAAACTAACTTAGAAGGAACAGGGAAAAGAACAAAAGTTGACACACCAAGTATGTGCACAGTGAGATGACTCAGGGCCACAGAAGAGGTATTTCATAAGAATATTAAAACAAACAAACAAACAAAAAAAAAGCAGGTCAGCTGTCTCTTCTGGACACAGGTTCACATGCATGTATTTCCTCTACTTATAACATATCCTACAAACTGCCCTGGATTGTATAAGCAAACATTTAGGCACCTATCCTAGACACAATTATGCACATTAGATTTGCATTTCTTAACATTACTTCCAGTAACAGTCTTCCTTTTACATCTTATATGGTATAATACTGCTAGGAGCACATCCTCACATTCATCATTTTAATGTTAGATTCTTGCATGATGAATCTAGCAGTAATACAGAGAAAATACTTGAAAATACAATAGTTTATCCCCAAACACAGTCAGGAAAGCTCAAGGAAAGCATGACGCCTGAAAACAGCACGTCACTATCTGGAACAGGTAATACTTTAAACTGTTGGCGTGTTTAAAATATATCCCACTTTTCAATTACATGTCCTCGTAGTGTTTTATAGACATGAATCAGCTTCTACATATCCCTGCAAAAAGACAGCCTTATCCACAATCTACCAACTCAGAAAAAAAGGGAACAGAGAAATAACTCACTTATTCAAAGTAATGTAGCAAAATGGATGACAAAGAAAATGAAAAGGTCAAAAGCCTCCCAAGATGTCTCCTTCACTGAAAATATTTTTCTGTTGTCTTTCACAATTAACAAGGAGATAGCTTTAGCCAGTCTTTCAGGCAACTCTTTCAAATCTTGTATAACACAACGTGCACAGGAAGACTAAGGCCCTAGAAAAGACTGCAGTGCAGTGACTTAGCCCATATTCCTTTGTCAGCAGGGGCTTGATCCTTTCACGGGAAGGTTTATGATCTTATAATAATAGGATAAAATATTTAGTAAGGGAAAACTTTGTGAGAGAAGCTGTGCAGACTGGTTGCACTTCCCACAGGAGCTGGGAAAGATTGGCAAGAAATAAACATCAACTGAACTTTCTCATGAATGGCTAATTAACAGACTGACAGAAGATGTGGTAGCAGAACCTGTCCCTGTTCAGCACTGTCCCCTATCTTATGCTCGTTCATCATGCAAAGGAAGCCCATCCCTGGTGTCCCAGCTTTCTATAGCATACTGTTGACACATAAATAACATTCAGCCTGAGGTCACATCATAAATTGACAGCACTTTTAAAACAGAAGACAGACTTGTCTCCTTCTATTTATCCTTTGAAACTGAAATGCAGTATCTGAAGATAACAAAGCTCCATGATCCAAGTAATCGACTCAATGCATATGCTGATTTTGATCTAGCAAAATAAACAATCCTTTAATACATGTCAAACTATTCCTAATACACATGTGTGGATATAAAATAACTTGCTCCTATTGTAAGTTGTTATATTAAAAAGGAAAGTTATTCCTATCTGCATAAACAGTTTATGGTTTCATTATCTATGTTCCTCCTATGATCAGATTAACTTTACTAATGAGCGTCTCTCTATTCACAGATAATATCTTCAGCTACTGCACTGTAAAATACCTGCTTAAACCGTACCACTGATTACCTGAACTTCTTGCCAATGCTTCTTCTGCTTCAATTAAAGTCTCTAACATGCCTTCTGTTAAGTTGGGACATTTTCCAATTACAGCATAGCCATTCCAGATATACATCATTTCCTAGGGTCAAAGAGAAATGACAGCATCATTAATTACAGTCCTGGATAAATGCAGTTATCAAATACTTCAGTTTATCTCTGTATGATGAAAAAGTTACAGAATCCTTAAATAAAAAGTCAGTTTGTCAAAACATATTTTCATTGCAACTGAAAACTTGTTACATTGGGTTTTAGAACAAATTAGCCCTGGAAGACAACAAGAGCCATTCACTACACACAATGCGAGGAGGATTGCTTGAACAGAAGGCAAACGCAGTCTCACTTACAGATAAAGGCAAGTACCAACAAAACAGACAGACTGAAACCAGTCATGGTTGACTGTCCCTTGATTAAGGCCTCCTCTTGCTTTTCAGTTCTATCCTAGCCAGGACAGTAATAACTATAAATAAGTACAATGTATTGCTTCCACAGAAAAAGATGACATCTCAGGACAACAAAACAAAACAAAAAGAAAATTAAAACCCCTAATCTTTAAGCCAAACTTCAAATAAACCAACAGAATTTTAGAGCTGAACTGTAAACCCCTTAAATTCCTCAGTTTTGTTTGATGTTCCTACAGAAAGTTGCTTGTTTCTTATTCAACTCTTCTTAAGAGTAAATTTTATTAAAAACTATTGGTTTAATTCCTATTAGTTATTGGGTTTTTCTCAAAGTGTATCACCAGACCAAATGTGCCCATTGCCACTAGCAATTATAAAGTTAAAGATGGAAATATTATATAGACTTATAACCAATCCTCATGACAAGTTATTTATTCTATTTATTTATATGACCTAGTCTGTATTTGATAATTTAAAGCTTTTCCATAAATTTATGTATAGAATAACTGAGTTCTGGAACTATGGTACAAAAAGCTGTCAGGCTAGAACAGATGAAGCAGTATGTTAAGCCCAGCCACTGCTGCTTTCACTGTCTGGTCCCTACTGGAAAACACATGCTGAACTTACTGTATGCAGTGAAGATTTGTTAACATGGTTTTGACACAGAATTACTCAAACTACATTTATTCTAGGCTAAATCTCTGAGCTAAGACTCGCTTGAGGACTCGTTCCTCTCAGCAAGTCACTTCACAGTGAAATGAAAAATCCTAGAGAGAAGATTCTGCACCCGATTCCACACTCTGAGTGCATTTAACCATTCAGCTGCGGCATCTGCTGCCTCAGAAATGCAACTGCAGCAGAACCAAAGGAGACAGTGCCTGGCTACTCCAAGGAGAGCCCTCAGCACAGGGGCTAAAATCTGCTCCTCTGCTAAAATCCCATTAGAGTAGCCCAGCCAAACCCCAGGTGTGTATGTTTCTTACTCTCTACATTCTCTGAAACCTGAAAGGCAAATCAAAGTAACCTAATTATTTATCTCATTTCAGTCTTATGACTTAGTGGAAATTGGCCCCTAGTGAATACCCACGCTATGCTGTAACAACTCTATTTCTTCAAGAAGCACTGTGTCACATCCCCAGCTGGTGGGCTGAGAAATGACTACTCACTGGTGTCTCCAAGAGCCTCTCCTTGTTCAGGCATTTTCTTACAGAGTATTTACTAATTATCCATCTGTTTCTCAAACGCAACAGCTCAAAGCACTGCAAATGTTAACACCACTGTGCTCGGCAAACCTGTGGACTCAAAATCCTTTTATGCTCTTTTACACGTTCTTTGCAGACAGATTTTTGTACGTGCAGCATGAGTGAGGCAAGAGGTGCCTTATGCAGCTGTTCTCATCTGGCCACAGGGAACTGGCCAGCAGTAGAGGAAAAAAAAAATAAAAACCCAACAGTATGCAGTGGTTTTCTGCAGTGGCTAAAGGATTTGCCTGTTTCACCCCAGCACCTGTGATCTGATCTGGAGAACACCAAATTGCAAACATTCAGGGGTACATTAAACAGATGCTTAGATGCAGTCCCCAACGCTTGCACTGTTTCATTCCCCTCCACAATTTGGACCTTAAAGTCTTCTTTTACTAGTTTCAGTAAATAATACACGACAGAAGAGACCTAGGGCAAAGTTCCTCACAAGGGAATCAAAGGAAAGCTGTTAGGAGCACGCCAGTCTATAGCTGGCATAATGAGTTACACACAAAACACATTTATGTGTCACAAACAACTGGCTTAGTTCCTGTGGCTGGTGCATGCCCCAGTTTTACAGCATTCCTTGCATTCATTTGGCTTTGCTTTGGGAACATTCCAGTCTCCCGCAGAGGTTTTACCTTAGAAACATGGAAAGATACTATTTTAATTATCTCAGTTTTATTTCCAAAAATTAAAAAAGTGGTAATAAGGGCGGGTGTGTGTATTTCTAACTTACCAAAGGTGGAACAGGCAAAGGAATGGGGTTTGAAGAAAGGTATCGTCGAGCTTTCCGAATTGCAAACTTTTCTGTAGGCAGTGATTTCCCTGCAATTTTCAGTTTCAAACTGGGAACAATCCTGAAAGTTTAAAGGAAAATGTAAGGAATTTTTCCTCTGTGAACCTCTGGGAAAAAAATATCCAAACTTTAAAATAATAATAACAAAAAAATCAAACCAGAGAACTTAAAAAAGCTGTTACACACCGAGCTGTTGCTATCTCTAGGGAAGCTGAGCAATACATATACACAAAAGCTGTCTTTATGCAGGGCACGTATCCCTCTAGGCTTCTTCTTTAATTAAGCAGGAGGAAGAGGGACTCTCCCCCACCCAAAGAATAAACTGGATGATGCACCCAACTTATAAAGGGCCCATCTCTCTCATAGACTGAGGAAGAAGCAAACTAACTTTTGTCAGTGTTCTGCCCATTCTCCTAAATCCCCAACTGATTCACATTGTAATGGATCCCAAATCCAGTGAAATCTGCTTGCAATGATTATGTAAGACATGGAAGGCCTGAAAAGTATAAATATATTGTTAAGTACATTAAAAAGTGATATTTAAATTTTATAGAAAAATTGTAAAAACTAAAGTAATCAGTTTTCTTTGGCCCAGCAAAGTTTAGGCATTTTTGAGCTTAAACACTAAAATTAGGTTAATTCACTGTATTAATAATGCACATATTCACTTGCACATTTAACTATTTCATATTCCTCTCTGACTAAATCCAAGAACCAAGTTGTAGTGATACTGTCTCCACTAAGGAGGCACACACCTTGTAGCATAATGCATTGAAGGCTTTCAGATCTTACATGCAATTTTGATTAAAGGAAAAAACTGAGAAAGAATGTGAATATTACATGCGACAGCAGCAGCCACCGTATGGCTGATAGACCTAATATCCTGTCTCTAAAGGATTTCCAGGCCAGGATAAATCTGTTGTCTGAACTTGGGGTCCACTTTAGTCTAAGGGAACGTTTAATTCTGCAATTTCTTACCAATCCAGTGCTACTTGTGCAGATCCTCTGAACTGCACAATTAATAGTTTTGCCTCTTTTTCCCCCAACACTGTGCTGTGAAAAGACAGGAAAGTCTTGTAACTGGGAGTTAGCAAATTTTACCTAAATAATTCAACTTCGCTGTCTCCAAAAGGACTGCAGTCATCTGGTCCAAACATACTGAGATAAGCAGCTTTCATGTAAATATAAGTAGCCTGCAAATGCAATCAAGAATATCTGTACAGAAAAATGAATTTACAGCATCACCATTATTGACATAAGCACAAAACAGCAACAAAGAGTAAGAAGTTGCTGCTTTTGCTCATAAACAGACACAACCTTACAAAATTTTAAGCAGGAGGTAACTATTTTAGAAAGTGGAGTATAGAAAAATTTTTAATTATGTATGTCTTTGTTTATTTTGTATCAGCTTATAGCTTATGTCCACATTCTAAGAACAAATGTCATGTTTGTGTAAAGAGAATTTTTATTACTTTCAGGAATACATGCTAGGAAACTCACGAAAATGCCATGCTCAGAGAAGAAAAAACACTACTATATAGTCTGTGTTCAATCACAACTTGGTAGCATATTTCAAATATTAGGTTCTAGAGAACGTGAAACAATTTTTGAAGGGTTTCATGATTTCAGATTATGAAAAGTACTGATTTCACAGGGATTCCCGAGCAATCATATGTTCAGCAACCAAGAAAAGCAAAGCAGCAGCGGATGTTACAACTCCTGCAGCAGAAGAGAATAACAGTTGGCAAGTTCTTGGGTACTGCTTTAAGGAGTCTACACCAGCCATAAGTTTCAGGAGTTTTCTAGACTATTTTAAGCTGTGATGTTTTTATTTACACGGGAATCTCACAGTGGATATACGTGCCTATCTTTCATATAGCTCATGTAGTTACTAGTTTGCTACTATGACATTGCACTGTAGGTTACATATTAAGAGGAAGCACATTCTCTGCTTCTTTAAGGCCCCTGCAACATAGTATAAACCACCACACACAGTTTAAAAAGATGCGAGTTAATATGAATCCTATAGCATTTCAGGATACTAAAGCTCTTAGCCAGGTGGTGCACCCCTGGCTGTGGGAGCTATTCAGATGAATACACCTGGCTGAACATGATGCTGGAATCCCCAGGGCACAGTAGGGTCCACACTGCAGTTTTCACTCGAGTGGGAACACTGAAAGCATTGCTTTCTCCTGCCTAATTGGACCTTATGTCAGTTTTGGTTCCACTTGGCCAGTACATACTATGTGGAATAGAAAAAACAGGCAGAGAGACCCCCCTCACACACATAGTCTGATCACAGTAATATGAAACAAACCTCCAATCAACCACACACCCTGCCCCCAAGCCAGACTTAATCCCTTCTGACATATTTCCCTGGGGCTCAGAGGAAGATGAAGGGAGGGAAGCTAGAAGGGTTCTGGATGGAAGAGCTTCTCCCTTTCAGACACACAGGGCAAGGTGCCTCTTCTAATTATATTTATTATCCTAGAGGCACCAACGTGACTCGCCTCATTCATCACCAAAAAAGTTTATATCCATACTGTAATGAAAGAAATGGCAACTTGTGCCATTAACTGCAATGTGCTGATGACACTACCAGTCACTACACAGCGGAACATCTTTAACCAGTTGTTCTTCATCTACAAGTCAGGCCCAAAAAATTTCTGCCTGCCCACATTCTGTTCAGATTTGAATGTTTGCAATTCACATTGTTCTGCAAGAGCCACAGCAGACCAGGTTTTGTTTTACAATCTTCATCTTCAAAGCTACAAAAGCTTCAAAGCTACAAAAAGTCAACTCAACCTAATTGAAAGTTAATAGATTCTACAGGGCCTTCCACCCTCCTGTTCCAACTAACTTACCTTTGACCAAGTGTTTTCTTTGCTTAGCAGGTCTGCATAGAAGAAAGCCATCTTCCACTGGCGCTTGTAGGTGAAGCACCACATGAGCTCCCAGTAACACATGTGATGAAACTGCTTCCAGTATTGCTGAGCCTCGCAACATTCTTCATACCTATTAACTGCCTGAACACAGAGATTTCCAAACACCGCCTTAATCGTGTGTAAATGCACGTACACCAGTGCTGTAACACACACTGGGTCTCCACGATCTGCCGGCATGGCTCCTGCAACTTCCAAATTATTAACAGCCCAGTATTCCCCAAAATCACATCTGTTGGTTTCACACAAGGGATCCTTGGAAATTAGGAAACTGAAGGCAAAGGACAGATGCTCAGCTGACATTTATTGTTGCAGCTCCAAAGCTTTTGAGGGAGCTACCACACTGCACACCAGCTGATGCTCTGTCTGAGAGTATTCTGGATACCCATTCTTCACCTCCCTAATTCTTTCAAGTCTTGTATGACTCTCCACTCAGACTAAAGGCAAAGGATTACCACTGGATGTTGTTAAAGGCACAATCTGTTCCAGGACAGGAAAGATAACAAGAAAACTGTGTCATTAATACTGGAGGACTAGATTATCACCAGAAATTGAGAAGGGTAGCAAAACAAGCTGGTCAAACAATCTAGTCAAAATAGTTTTCAAAATTCCTCTTTGTAATTCATAAATTATAAATTACATATAGGCCAAAGCCACAGGAAGCACTAGCCAAAAAGGAAACATTGCTCCTGGAGGAGTTTTTCTAAAGCTTTTGAGACTTATTTTCCCAAGAGCAAAAGGATTACTTACCGCATCAATATTACCCTTTAGTGTTTCTATCCTGCCTGCAAAAAACAGGAATATGGCTCCCTGTAATAAATAATAATAAAAATACAAGTATTCTATAACAGTTTTCAAGCTGACCATACAGTCTAGATCTTTGTTATTTGGCAAGAAAACATTAAACAATCTGTGGTGGTACTAAACTAAATTATGATTCATTTTACCTTTGGATAGCGAGCCAAGTAAGGCTTAAGAAGTCTTTCTGCCTCCTCAACATTTCCTTTTCCTGTCCCTAGAATGCATAAAAATGCAAGTGATAAAAATATTAAGAAAAGAAAAAAAAAAAAAAGAACAGGAATGCAAGGTACTGATTAGTCATCCTCATCTGGTCTGTATGTAAGTTCCTCTCTCTGATAAGTGAGGCATAAATACAGGTTGGGGGAGACCTCAACACCATTTTGCTTACTGACTTGAAAACTCACTTACGTGCAGGCCAACACATTTTGCAGAATGCCTTAGCAGGAGATAACAGGGAACTACTGTTATCTCAGTGGGAAACTATCACCTCCCAAAACAGTCAGGGATAACATACAAACATGAACAAAGTATTCAGGAAGTCATCACTTACAGCCATTATTTTAACCTCCCAAATAATACACTTGACTACTGAAGACAGATTTAGTTCTCACAACTTAGTTTACTATCCCCATCTTCTCTCTTATGTGTCAAACAAACCTTCACCTTGAAGATTAAGACATTCTCTTCAGTTATGATCACTACTGTAAAATCACCCACAAATGAGTTACATTTAATCTGACCACAAACAAACAATTCAGCAACAAACAGGTGATGGAATCATCTTTTTCCCCTCTGTGTCCCACAAGAACTAATCAAATCCAAGAATCCAAGAGTTATTATAAACAATCTTACCTAACACAAAGGTCATGAAAGTATGATAGCAAAGCAACAGCATGGTACACAGCACCGACCTAAAGCTGTATGATGATGCTCCTTCTTGAAGCTGCAGCAGACCACGCTCCTGCGCAAACAAAGGTGAGGAGAACAAAGTATTGGAAGAGAACCAAAGCTGTGTTTTGCTAGTCTGTTAACTTCTGCAGTGTCATCTACAGATTACTCACTCACCATATTCCTAAAATGCAATGACATGCATTGCTTACATAGCAATCAAAGATAAAAAACACACACATGAAGTTTTCTAGCAGTTTTTCATGGAGTTACTGCTTAGCTTGGAGAACATCTGACGACAGAGCAGCAATCTGGGATTTATTACGTGATTAACATCAGAGAATGTTAGACAACTTATCACCATCATCCAAGTGCTGTTACACAGCATTCCAGAAACAAAAAACACAGAGTTTTGAAATGTAATGCAAATAACACATATTGCCATTGTGCAGTGTAGCCATGTTTATTGTTATTCACTGCATAAGCAAGTTAAAGACACCAAGGAAAAAAAAACCTGCAACTAGCAGGGCAAAGGATAATAGGCAAAAAGATATTTTTAAGTATGTTAAGAACAAAAGGAGCTTTGCAGTGATGTTGGCCCACTACCACCAGCGGAAAAATACGATTAAAAGAAGAGTATTTCTGTTCCCTTTGGGAAGAACTAAAGCGATCAAGTATAACGCTGCATTCATATTCAACGAGAGCGTGATGGATAACCAACTTTCAGGATTCCAGCTCCTGAGACAACAGCATTTAGCAGCCCCTTCTAGAACTGGTTCCATGATATCAACAGCAAGAATGTAAATATGCAAACATATTAAACATGAGATCTGCCTACTAGCAAATTATGCACAGTAAGACATCCACTGTGTGCTGGGGAAAATTCTGTTTAAAAGTTACACTACGACTGCAGTGGAAAGTTACTGGAACATGATGTATGTGACTATAAGGACATCCTTTCAAACCAGCTACGCTATAAATAGGGACCCTGAGGGATGCCTGTTGGAGCCACTGTGGAAGGTATCAGGGAGAGCTCCCAGTGCGATCCCAACACAGATTTTCACTTTTTGTGTGTCCTTGCCAAAAGAAAGGTCTTACACTGCCTCACCTTTATCACTTACTCTGCAAACCCTGAAAACTGTAATCATATTGCAGTTTTCATCACACATGTACTTCTTCACTTAACTAGGGTGGTTAATTTTTTTCATGTAAATATAGTTATTTTGTGGTTGTTTTTTGTTTTTGTTTTTAAATCTTAATCTATTACATTAATTACTGTTTTAGGGAAAGGTACCATTAACACACACATTTTCAGGTCAATTAGTATGCCATCTAGCCTGCACAAAATAATGAAAATACTGACTTGCATGTCACTTCAGAAGAAATTAAAAGATTGTAAAATCATTACTGAAAATCAATAACTTAATGGGTATCAAGCACTCAGCAAATAAAGCCAACTTCATTTTCTGCTGAGAGCAAAAGTTTGACTGATACAGGTAACTAACAAAATATGATACATTCAAATTCTTTAAACTGCCCAGATTAAAACCAAAAATATTTGAATGTTTTTTAAAAGTAGCACTGTAGCACTGCAAGGTAGAAGTGAGACAAAACATTCTGTGGAATGAATTTTGGCAGGAAAAATTCCAAAGTAGATTTCCAATTACATTTTTAAAAAATGAAAAGTCTTCAGGCTGGATATTTCACTAAGCCTTTACTGACATCAGTACTAGGCCTTACAATGTTCAACATCACCCATTTAATATAAAAATGCATATAAAATGGCTTGTGAATAGCACCAAGAATGATAGAGAAACAAATTGTATTAGTTGTATAGCACAATGTAATTATTTGTCAAGTTGAAGTCACTTTTGTATTTTAGTCACAAGAATGTACTTTCATACAGCCAAACACAAAGTTATCACCTGTGTGAACAAGGAAGGCAACCCACACCCACCCTATGTGAGACTGCACCCTGGAGAGCAGGAACTGTGGACGAACTGGGTTAGGAACATTGCCCGTTCACCAGAGGAGGGCTGCAAACCTGCGTACTTGAGACTAAAACCTTAAACCGAGTAGTTACACAGGTATGCAAAGCTCACCCAGCAAGTTAGTTCCCTCTGTGGTACATCCATAATCCTATTTTGTTCAGTACAGGTATTAAAGAACGCTTACTTTTCACTCTGCCACTTGAATACCACAAACTTTCTATATTAAAGCAATAATACAATCACTAGACACAGTCTGAAAAAAAAGAAAACTAAAAGTAGTTGTTATTAATATAATAACACTTGCTTTTAGGAAAGGTTCCAACAAAGCTGCTTCTCCTCAAAACAAAAACCTCTTGGAAACTGCTTCTGTTATGATGAGATCCCCAGGAAAGCGGAGTGATGAAGGATGTCACTGGGAAACACATTTTCGATGCCACCTTTGGCCAGCCAGCCTCCGCAGGCTCACTCTGCGGCTGGCAGACAGAGGAACTCCTCCAAGGAAGAATTCAGCACAGGAGCCTAGATCAGACATCACGAATCACCTTTCCAAGCACTTACTCCTTCTCCACAGGGAGCCTCCAGAGATTAGCCAGCAAACCTAATCAGCTAAGTGATGTGTCATGAGTTGGGCAATACTATTACATCTGTGTAATCCTCGCTGGGGATCAAACGGAGCACCTCGGTACTAAATCACAAGCAGCTACTACTGGAGCTTAAGAAGTAACTCTGTGAACAAACTACACTCACTGCCACCAATCACTAAGTGAGTATATTATATTTAATTGTTAGGACACACCTTCTAACCATAAATAACCCATAAATATCTCCCACACCTACGCCACAGGTGATATGAGCAATCTCAGAACACCAGGAATGAGCTTCCAAACAAAGTCTATGACAGGGAATCTTGCGACAATATAAAACAGATGTCAAGGCAAAAAGTGCTTGCAATTTCTCCAAAATACTTGAATGACATTAACATGTTTAGTTTTTGTTTTCACACAAAATGTAAGTTACTCTGAAAAGCATAAGGTATAATGCAGAGGTAGAGAGCAGTGACACTACTTAGAGAAAAATGTGATCCAACACGATAACCCTCACCTTTCTGTGCAAGTTGCTCATAACATCCCATGATCTCTTAATTCCCAAGACTGCCACTACACTATCTTACATCAGTATCTCATTGATTTGATCCTTCTTCTAAGCCATTCAATGCTCTGTCATTCAGGACTCCCCACACGAGCAGTGGGGATTCCCATAGTGAATGCAGGATGAACAAGGACAAAGCTCAAAACCATTATCAGACAACGTTGAAACTGGTTCATATTTATTTCAGCTGTCACCAACTAAAACCCATCTACTTTCCTGAAGTGAAAGCTCTTGAATGATATTTTTAAATAATTCTCTTTTAATCATGGATCTTGACAATGAAAGCAAAGCAAGGTCACCGTTCACATCCCGTGACCTGATCACATTACTGCAGGCTTAGCAAGGAGGATGGATAATGCTAACAGCTTTTACGAAGAACAGACTCATTAAACTGGTAGATGGGGCATTTGAATGTATTCCATTAAATAATTTTAGATTTAACCTTCATTTAAAATTTGCAGAAGAGATCAAAATGCAAATCAGAAAGATGCATAGTGGGAAACTGGAATTCAATTTATTACAAATTGAGACATCAAAAGTATTCTTCAGCTTAGCTGCTTTGGGAAAAATGTCCTCCCACACCAAAAAGTGTAATTTGAAAGAAATTGGTTCTATCTGAAAGTTTTCCTTCCTTCCCCTGAAATCAAGCTGTCATCTGACCCTGTGACAAATTGCAGTGAGCTCATGTCAAACCCTTCTAGAGTTTAGCAGCACAGTATTTGTAATCATCTATAAAATGAGAACAAGAGTAAATATGAACCTAAGACCTGGCAGAGGGGTCAGTAAGAAGAGTTCAATGTTTATGTGGGAGATAGTAGAAGGACTCCTCTGATCTCACACCAGAAGTGAGTTATCATTAAACACAAAACGTGCAGGTGGGACACATACTCCACCCACCGCCCAGGGAGTGAGGAAGGCATGGCTCCCCAGCACAGCATACCTGACGGTGTGCAATACATACCTCTGCCCATAAAATACTTCTCATTAAACTGGGTAAAACTGCATTGAACCTCAATGCCCAAATGCAGGGCCCGGGCCATTAAACACAAATAACCCAATATTTTGACTAATGATACTGAGGAAAGGAGCCTGGACAGTGAGAATGGCACAACTGGCACATCTTGGAGTGGAAAGGAACAAATGTGGCCTCAGGCTACTTTTATACTTTCTTGATCTTATCCTACCTACTATTTTGAGAGTCCAGACTGCTGTTAAGTTGATCATGTTGTCCACAGTGCTCACAAATGGCTCAGGAAGTAATGGAGCTTTGGGCACGTCCTCATTTACTACCAGACACAACATGTCTAAGAGACGAGTCCCTAGGGGCAAATCTGCTGGCTTCAAGGCAGATTAGTATTGTGGAAGATATCGCAATGCAATTTTATATCCAGTTTTAATAAACACATGACCCACACCAAAAGCAAGCTGTCCTCCAGTGCACTGCAGCTCTCTCAGGTAAACTGTAAACAGCTCAAGGCACTAACCATGGCTGCCTTGTCTTTTGCTCGGTCTGATGCTCACCGTGAGCATTTAATGGAAAAGACTGCAAGATCAAACACAGATTTATTCATAGAATCATAGAATAGTCTGGTTGGAAAAGACCATTACGATCATCTAGTCCAACCGTAAACCTGGCATTGCCAAGTGCACCACTAAAGCATGCCCCCAAGTACCACATCTACACATCCTTTAAATCCCTCCAGGGATGGTGACTTCACCACTTCCCTGGGCAGCCTGTTCCAAAATTCAAAATTCCTTTCTTCTGGATGGGGTGCAGCACATGACACACAAACTTTCCCTTTCCTCCTCTATCATTGTTTCTTTCACCTTCAATATTCTTGTCTGTACTGCAAGGGACAGCCTCCTCTTGCAAGCTCTGGAAAACCACCACTGGAAAGGATTGCAAATGCAACTGCAATTTTGCTTTTGGGTTTAGCCATCTGACTCACAAATGTTAAATGCAGAAAAACTTTTTCAGGATGTTAAAATAAATGACCATCAATGAACTTTGATCAACGTGTTTAAAATACTCCTCTTTCATGGTGTGCAGACAGCAGTTTTCTGCTTAAGTTTATAGTAATCTAGGTCATGCTTCAGTGAGTTATTAAAAAACTGGAACAGAGGCTGACTCATCAACACAAGTATCAGCCCACTCACAGCCATACAAGAAATCCCAGGGCCAAAAGAAAACAACAGAAATTCAATCAGAGGGACAATTTTCATCTGCAGTAATAAGATGAGTGTTCAGCAAAGTATTCTCAGAACTCTGCTGGTACGTGAGTTGTCCTTACATTTCTAGGAGAATATTTTGCTTTCGATGCTCTTTGTTTTCATAACTGACAGGTAGAACTATTTGATTTTTGACTCTATTGCTTGTGAAACAGCTCCTGGTCAGCTCCTAGAAATTTCCAAGTTCCAATCCCCGCTCTCCCTGCTTTTAAACAAGACATTTTCTTTTCAGATCTAAGATCTTTCCTGTAAACTAATAAAATGGTGATGACACTCATCCACCTGTCATATAAGAGTGCAGCTCTGATTAAGGAAGCATTTTTTTTCCTTGAAATTTGTTTTGTAAATAGAAAGCATTACAAAACATTGACATTTTAGCTTGTTTATACAGCTTTTGTTGTGTTTGCAGGACATCAAACATTTACCTAACCCAGCATTTATGAAATAAATATGACTATTGGTTTAGGTTAAATGGACCATGTTTTCTTAATCCAGGAACTCAACTTTGTATGAATCTCATGTTCTGCTAGTAGAATGAGAGACAAAAGCAGGTACAAGGTATCAAGGCCAAGATATTCCCATCGATTTAGTATCCTATTTTGAAACAACAAATCCACAAAAAACTAACACAGCACTTTCTATGTACCTGCCCTGTGGAATAACTGAGGTTCATGTGAGTTTACTGGTGCTTCATTATTAAACTTCATGTCCTCCTGCATGCACAAAAAACATAGGCCAGACTTGTTACTCTCCAGGCAGAAAAGCACTTACTCTTTTAGGCACAGAGAATTTAGGTGCCAAACTCAAGTTACAAGTTGCAATTAAAGACATGGAGAAAAAAAAAGAAAAATCAGAAATGAAATGGAATTTTTTTTTCCCCCCAACTGGATGTCATGCAGGAGCCTGTCAGGGACATTTAGATATCATAATGACAGTAAATATCAAGTAAGCTAATATATTAAAGGGTAAGAATACACTTTTGGCTATGGATTACCAAGTACAAGCATACATCAAAAGATCAGTAACTAAAAAACTAAGTATGTCAACATCACTGTATTACCCACTGTCTCTATCATGTTTCACTATTGAACAATGGTATCACAATCTTTGAAGCGCAATAGTTCAGACAAAAACAGAAAGGAAAACTGAGCTGCATGAAAGCATCAGTGCCAACAGTGGACATGTGATACCAGAGTGCTTCAGAGGGGTACAGTGAGGAAGAAGAGAGAAACTCCTGTCTCCATTTTTTAATTTAAGAGTTGAGGAGAATGTAGCAATAATAGTTCATATTTACCTTGTTTCCAGAAAACCCAACAAACTCCAGTAATCTCAGAATCCGTGCGGGAAACATGGACAATGTCTACAGAAAGAAATACAACAGTTATGCAGTAACAGACTTTCTGCCTCTCAGTTACCAGGTATCTCATACAACTATTCCAAACACAAGAAATATAATCACTAAAATTACTAAAAGCATCTTTATATATCTGACCTTTTCCTGGGTAAATGCATACATGAGCTTTATTTTACACACAATTTAAACAGCAATATTCGTTTAATACAGCTGGGCACAAGCACTCAGCTATATTCTCAAAGAACATGCCTTTAGCCCATGCCATATGAGATAATTTCTCAGCTGATAGTCCCCCTGGATGTGCAAGTGGGTCTGCACACACAGAGCAGTATTTCCCACATTGTTGGTAGCAGTCTATTTCTAAAGTGTATTACTATTTCCATTCTTAGACCAGAGACCGGATCCTGTAAGTGCCAGTAGACATACCTAACTTCTCAGATACTTAAATTAAGCTCACTTTCAGGAGGTTGTAGGACTTCAGATCAAGAGAAGAACTGTTGGTACATACCAGATTAAATGCTCCAACTCCAAGTTTTACACCTCCCTCAAAATGAAGATGGTTCTCTCCTCTGACATAATGTGGAGACTGTATGAGACTGTCCAGCTCCCTGAAAATGCACAAGATTCTGTTACGTTGTCAGTAAATCAGATGATTGATAACAATTCAGTAAGAAAGTAACACAACTACCTTGAAGTACAAAGTATTTCAAAAAAGGTCAAGGGCACAACAGCTACAATGCTTTTTTTACTATCAAAAACTATGATGGACTCCTGGAGATTAATTCCTGGAGATTAATTCCAATACTCAATTTGCAACCATATTTCTGCCTGAAAATGTTTAAAGAATGGCTGTGGGAGTAACACCAACCTTTACTACTGCAGAAAGAGACGATGTGGCAAGTGCAGGAGAGTTAAATTTAAATTAGCAAATTTGATTTGAGTTTCACTAATTCCTGGATTAGGTATTCCCTTTTTGCACATGTTCATTCAAAGAATATTTTGTTATATATAGGAAAAGACAATTGTAAGAAATATTTTTAAATGGGCAGGTATACTGGAAATTACTTTTCACTTATTTTCCTAACTTTCATAGATCTCAACTTTGTAGTGTCCCTTTATTTGCCTGCATAATCCAGAAAGATTTGAACTTGGTTTTCTCCAAACTTTCTATAGCTATGTCTTTTTCACACTAGTATTTTAGTTTATTTTGTTAATTAGTAGGAGAAGAAAAACACTGTTTTAATCACAGCCACATAATTGTGTTCAGGCTGTCATGGTTTTATCTGCTGGTTGTTGCCAACAAATATAGGACTATTCATTGTAATTGCAGTCTTTACAGTGGACCTGCATTTAGTCGTCTTCAACCCACACAAATATGGACACTGCCATATCTCTCCCTTTCAGTATATTTCTGGAGAACTGCGACTGGATGCTGGTTTGTGTCTGCTAGACACGTGCCTTTTTGTGGCTGTTCTGAGTCCAAATTTAAAGTTCTAAAGTAAAACAAAATATGACGCATATTTAGCTTTCACCTTTTTTAATTATTCATGTAAGTCTGGACTACTGTGAAAGTTTCCTGATACTTTTTATTCACTGACAATAAGCAAATGTTTCATTATGACTTACTGTTTTATTTCATTTCATCTTTTTTACAGTGTATGAGAACCTTTTCTCCCTGAAAGAGAGTTAAAAATTGTACCTTTGCAACATTTACTCCTCCTGTCTTTTCAGGGTTGCTGTTGTTGCAGATTAGCAAGCAGTATTGCTGACAGCAGGGAAAGGAAAGATGGCTTTTTATATCAGAAACTATATTGTAAAAAATATTGATCGATCAAAGCAAATAAAATCTCATTTCCGTACTTAATTGTTTCCTCTGTAACCTCTTCCACCGTGCTCTCACCAAAACTGCAAACAATTATTTCTTCCCACATCAAAGGTACAGTACCAAAATTGTTACTACCAATCTCACATACAAACTTTCCTGTTGTTAAAATACACATTTTAGGAAGTTATTATTAGCATTTTTTTGAAGAAGACCACCTAACATGTACTAGATTTATAACATTTTGTTTTTACATATACTAGAGTGGATCTTAATTTATTGAGGCACAGCTGAGCATGCTATCCATGGTGAACATTTCAATGTAAATTTTAGGATTTACCTATTGCACTTCAAAATTTTTTGCACTTGTTGAAAGTAGCTCTCCATAACCTACTGGGTGAAAAGAAATCTGCTTAAGCAGGTGTTTTTGGCTTACAGACACTAACTAATGGGCATGTTGTGAGTTCAGATAAGCAGCCTTGCTTATCACTTTCAATAGCATGCACCTTCTCTTTAGAGCAGAATGACTGCCATACTTAACCAGATTAAAAATCCAACTGACAAAATATTTCACTCACACAGTGGCATATGCCTGGAAAAGCACCATCTAGGAACTGACTGTTCAGGGACTTTGACTGTAGAGAGACTGCATCTGTTCTGCTCTGCTAACTAGCCCCTATAAACCTGTTTCCTGTAAATTTGTTTCTTCTTTGTTTGAAGCCATTTATACTTTCCATTGTAAGCTCTCCAGTTTATTGTCTCTTAGTTTTGTTTTAGTTCCATGCATTTATTATGGATTACTTGTGCTTCAACTACTGGTTTTGAATATTCAAAAAAAAATTGCAGCTAGGAATATAAAGAAATGCCATTTCATATTCCTAATGACTGCTAGACCTCCAAATGGTGCTATGCAGACACAATGAGCACTAGTTCATTTGGAACTAGTTATTTTTTGACATAATTTCAGCAATATAGTATTTGAAGTAGGCAAACCTTGGGAGTTAACAGGGTTGTTAGGGTCCACTATCTTGACAATCCAAATCAACCATAATATCAATGTCCTTTGTTATGCAAAGGAGGAATTTGTGTGGGCTGAGAAAGGCTATAGACATGAGGCCAGTAATAAAGGCTGCAATAACTATAGTAATAATTCATCTGTGATTTGGGCAATTCAACCAGCAGTACTCCTTACTGAGGGAATACACTTAATCACATCGTCATTCTGACTTACCTGTACGTTTGATAACTGTTTCGGACTTTGATGCCTCCTTTTATGAAGCTAACCATATTCTCATCCTGTTAGAAGGGAAACACATTAGCAATATGAATTTTTAAGCATTATAAAGGGCTGTGGTCTTCTTGAGATGAACATATGCCTTGAACATAACCATCGTGACAAGACAATATAAGCCTCTGAGAAACAATCCACGGATTTAGGATTTCCTTTCTACATTATTTTTACTGTGTTCAGGCATATACACTATATTTTGATGCCTTCCATTATTAATTTAGCCCTTGCAACCTTTGAACCATGTGAATTTGCATTAATGAACACAGGGACTAAGCTAATGAAAGGCACCTGAGGTACATGCATTTGTGGCTGATTAAAAAATAGCTTTCTCTCATTTGTCCTTCAGCATAGTTAAGATCTGAACATTTCCTGGCTCAGCACCACACACAAATAGCTGCCTGTCCTCAGGAGGCTACAGAATATAGTTCCACATCCTGAAAAGGAAGCAGGGTAAGTAAAGTTATGCAGGATATGTCTTTCTGGTCTGAATATTCAAGTATCTAAGACATGCACACTAGTACAGTAACATGCTACATTATGAGCTATAATGAACTTACAGCCAAGTGTATCTGGGGGGCCATTAGTTTACAGTTGCATCCCAAAGAGAGAACTCTCTAGTCTCTTAACTTTCTGGTGGCAGTTTCTTGCCTCACTCATCGTATGTAATCTGTCATCCTGGTTTGTTTTGATATCTGCTATTACTGTGGGATAGGAAGACCACTTGTGTTTTAGCAGACTATTTTTCTGGGATGGGATTTTAAGAGGCTGTATGAAGCATTGTGGAGAAAACAGCATAGATTAGATGAACATTTGATTGTTTTATTGTTATTGTTAAGGAAACAGGGTCCAACTGTGCTCATTGATGTGTAGACAAAGAGACAGAAACTGCCTCAAAGAGCTTTCCCTCCTCCTGTAAGTCAAAAAGGTAACTCAATCCAATCAAAGTTACAGTTCAACTTCTTCCAGACTTTGCTTTCTGTCAACTAATATAGGAACTCTAATGGCCTGATGTGAAGGGCAGGGGTTTACTCCCACAGCCTGCAACACCACCACTAGCCTGTGTCCTTGACAGACATCCTTAAGCAACATTATCAAGAGTGAGGACAAAATTATGCACCATAACTGAACATGTAATTCTTGATGATATATCCCCAGAGACTTGAAACCAAACCATGTGCAAACAAAATAACCACAGAAAAATGCAACCCTGTTTTTCTTTGTTCTGTAGAAAAACTCAGTTTTTAATTAGCAGCTGGGAGCAGGGGGTACAGCATAGCTAACCATATATAAAGGTTCAGTTATATTTTCCTTTGAGTGGAAAATGGAAAGAGAAAATAAGATGGTTTTAAAACGTTTACATCCAGAATACTCATGATACCAACAAGAGAGATAACCACTGTGAGAGTAGTCCAGCTCCTGAAAAATCCTGAGACTAATTTTTAGATATTTTCAACTGGATTTGGTTATTTACATTAAGCACCAAAACTAACTCACTTCAATAGTTGTTGGAATCAAGTGCCTTTGTTTAATTTTTAAATCCAGTTCATGTGTTCATGAAAAATTAAATGCAGAAGAGGAAGCAAACAGATCAACATTCTTTATGCAGAACAGGACAAGAAATTAGCTTCTTATTCTTAAATCTCTCATGTATCTACAAACATTTTAAAAACAGATACCTGTGAAAATAGCACTTAAAACCAAGAGACACTGCATTTAAATGCTCCTTTCTTACAGGCACAATAGAGAAGTTCTGAAAAGCCTTGCTTCCATAGCTCCAGATATTGACCAGACTGTCCCCAG